GGGAATTCTGGGAGTTGAAGTCCACCCCTCTTAAAGTTGCTGAGGTTGAGGAACCCTGCGCTACCGAGCCAGGCATTCCTCTTGCTCTGTTTGTTTTTTGTTTCCTAAGTTACGGCCTTTGCATTTCTCTGTTAAATTTCATTAGCTTTTAGGTCATTTCTTTCCAGCTATCAAGATCATTGGAATCTTATTTCTGTTTTAGTCATCGCAATTCTGTGTCGTCTGATAATTCGCTAAGCACAGGACTGATCTCCGTGGCACCTCGCTCAGTACTTCTCCCTCGTTGCAATCATTGAGGGTCGCTCTTTGAGCCATTTTTGCCCCGGCTGTGTATCCTCCTTAAACGTTGTGCCATTCATCCCACCATTGGATGCCTTGCAAATGCTTTGCTGAAGCCCAGATGTATTAGGTCTTCAGCATTCCCTCAGACTAGTGAAGAGATTGGGTGATCAAAAAATGGAATTGTTCCTGACACATCCTGCTGAATTTTGGGCATGACTGCATTATTCCTGGTCTCTTTACAAACTGCTCTAAAACTCTCCCCGAGGTTCATGTCAGGCTGACTGGTCTGTTATTCCTAGGATCTTCTGTTGATCACCACTGAGACACATGTCCTCCTCCAGTCATCTAGCTCATTGTCAGTTCTCCAAGATTTCTCTTTTCTCTTAGCTGCTCTTCCCATCTTCTAAGCAGCACTCTTGAGTTCGTTATAATCTGATTTTCAGAGAGATACATTGGATGTCTTTGATTACATGCAGCTTTAGTTTCCCTTAAAATGCACCGCGTGGCCCCTTTCCCCCAACGTTCCTGCTCCATCTGTCTTCTCAACTCAGCTTTCCCTGTTGATGAGGTCATGTCAAGGAGAGCTGATTGTCCTCCACCTTCCAAAGGAGAACATTCTTAGCAAGACAAATTGGGAATTTCTAGGAAGGGCCACTCTGGCAGTTTCCCAGACAGATGCCAAGGTAACAGTTCTCCTGTCATCTGCAATTTGTGTTCAGAAGTTACCAGCCAGGTTGTCTTCTTTGCAGAATAGGCGATGGCAAGCACCAGGCACAATATTACTGTTATTTGTTCCCCTGCTTGTCTGAACCCAGATGTTCTCTGCAGCATTACCAAATTAATTCACTTGGACTTCAGAGCAGGAATGGGCATTTTTAGCATAAAGCACAGCTCCACTTTTCCTATTGTTTCTGTGGTTTAGAACAAACCTGTCCTTCAGATGCTGTATTCCAGTCATGGGATCATCCCACCAGGTCTGTGTTATCCCAGTGAAATCATGTTTGCACTTCTAAGATCTTAGGCTTACCTTATTTATCGCCATACTCTGAACATTAGTGTCTCTGTAACAAAAGGCCATGAACGTGTATAGTTTGTTGTGCCTTATGTATGTTGTGGTTAATGCCACCACACTCTGGGTTTTGCAGTCCTGTTCTAATGCGTGTTTGGTGCCAGTGATTGTCAGCCCTATAAGATAGTCCAGACTAAGAAGCCAATGCCATTTAGGTCAGGTCTACTTTTACTGTAACAGCTACAGTAATGCAAGTCTGGATGTGGTTCTCCCTCTCTCCATGTGAATTAGGGAGAGGCTTGTCTGAGAGGTTTTCTCAAGTTAGTTTCTTGGCCCAGGCTCAAGCCCCACTTACCTGACTGTTGCCTTGATAGAGGGTTTTCCTCCTGTCCTTCAAGGCCATTCCCTCTTCCCCCTACAGTGATTCACCCCAGCACAGAAGGCTGGGCTTCCCATTCAGGAGTTCAAGAGAGAGTGGGACTGGTCTTCCCCCCATCTCCCTGACTTTCTTTGTGCAGATCTTGATCATGGACATCATTGAGGTTGTTCCTGAACCGGGGCAGCCGCTCACCAAGAATAAATTCAAAGTGCTGTACGAGAAGGAGCAGAAGGGGCCCGTCACTGCCCTCTGCCACTGCAACGGCTACCTGGTGTCGGCCATTGGCCAGAAGGTGAGCGGCCCGGGGGTCCAGGGTCTGCCAAGGGCAGTGCAGTGTGCCTCTGGGGTGCTTCTTGCTCCCCAGGCTAGGACTTTAGGAGCTGGGGTTACACGGGAATTTTAGAGTGCCTGTGGGATGCTGGTGGTCGGCTCACTCAGATGCCCTGGGGGGGCGGGGCAGACAGACCGGAGAGAAACAGATCCGTGACTGCACGGAGAACCCAGGTTGGGCGAACCCAGCCAAGGGGAAAGAGTTTGGCAGCCGGTGGGGGAGTGGGAGGAGGAGATCCAGCTGGGGCCAGAGCAGTCAGTAAAGTGCACAGCCCAGGAGAAGGGAAGGATTTGCTCTTACAGAAAAAACTGACTCTGGCGGCCAAGGGTTGGGGGCGGGGGGCTGGTTGTTTCTTTAGCGTAGGAA